AATGGAATTTCATTTTATTATGCACTTGGTGTATAGTGTATAGTGGAATGACAATAAAGTTGTTATTATTCTATTCATCCAAATTTGGGGGGTGAGGTGAAATGTGATAAGAGGGAGGACCAGGGTAACAAACAACTAACCTGGTCATTCCAGGCAGAGATGCAGTATAAGCTGTCATCTTCTTCCAGCAAATAGATAGACTGGCTTAGGAAGCTAGGAGAATGGAGAAGAATTTTAAAGAATAAGCCAACATTGATTTGAGACTTATGAGAGCAATACTGTGAATTGCTTAAGATTGGGGCATTCTTCTGAAAAGGAGACTGCTTGGAGCAAAGTCAAGCAAGAACTAGTGAAGCCAATGATATGAATTAGTTACATGAGCTCAATATGTCCTCACTTTGGGTATAAGAGTTGGAAAATGGGATATTGAACAAGCCTCAAACATGTGCATTTTGCCTAAAAGTCTACAGACTCATTTTATATTAAAATGCTAGTCTACTCCTCAGTGTAAAGACTTTTCTGAGACAGCTTGCATACATGTGACCCAAGTTATCTTTCCTGCCCTTCAGAATTTCTTCTGATAGGCTTGATTGAGGAACTCTCATCTTACAGCATTTCTCTTGCAATGGATTTATATCTTCATTGTCAATGAATGACATTTACCTAAAATTGGTCAGCCACACTGACAAAAGAGGTATCAGGACCTAGCCACGATTTCTTGTTGGCAAAATGGAATAGGACCAAGGTGGAAAGTGAATTCAGTTAATACCTGAAGAAATCAATGGAAATATCTAAGTCTTCTTCCAGTACCACAGCAAACTTAGCATCCTGCAAAAGAGTCAGAACAGAAGGGAACCCCAAGAAGTGTTGCAGAAGGGAAGCAACAATCAAGGAAAGAACAACTATACACACATTCTCAAACAGTGTAAGAATTTCTGGGAAGCTGACAATCCAGCAATGCATCATCTTTCAGTACCACATAAATCATCAAAACCCTTATTTCTAAAAAGCACTGCACTGTGCATATCTGCCATTGTCTGTTAAGTTTAACAAAAAGAGCCTCTGCAACTTCAGGGTTTACAATAGGCAATTATTACTATAATCCCTTTAATTAATGTTACATAACTCTCACTAGTTACATAGAAGGGCGTATTCCAAAGCAGAATTTTCCCAAATGAATAGTCCTCTCTAAACTGGCAAAGACAGAAGAGCTGACCCAACATACCGGATGCAAGTTGAATGTTGCAGTCAAACTGGCTTTGTAGTGCTGTATGGGGATAAAAGAAGGAGTAAAAATGGGGGCATTTCTTAAAGCCTGTTTATTATTACCAATATGGTATGATTGATATGAGTCATTACTGAAATGCTACTTTTCAGAACATTCAGCCCAACCATCTTTATCTCCAGGCTTCAGTTGTGCCTCAAAGAAGAACTGCCTATGCCATGCATTTCTAATCATGCTAGGTTGATAAATTCAAGCCCAGAATGCCAGTGCAGAGCCAAGGCTTGTGCGTGAGCTCATCCACCACAAATCAGTCTTGAGGACAACCTACACAGACTAGGATTTCTAATGTAGTTCATGGTTCAATCGAAGCAGCAATCAAGGAAAGAAATGAGCCACTCACCTGAGAGACTCTTGCATTTTTAATGCTGATGGGGGTGTGCTGGATTCCCTTCAGGCCAAATAATTCAACCACATCCATTGGCTCCTGGAAAAGAACAGAAATGTGTGAGGTAGAAAAGATTGCCTGAACTGCGGTCATTCATTTTTACCTTCCAGTTTTGCATATGAATTCTTCCACTTCAGATGCACTAAGGTGCAGTTTCTGGGATTGGACCTTATTTCTAGAATAGGGGTAAACAACTTGTGGCCTCTAGCTTTTTCATTATAGTCTTCAGTGCATTCTGTGACCATTATTGCTTAATAATAATAATAATTTATCACTATTTTGAGGCAGGAAACACATGCAAACTGCACCCAGTTCTTAACATTGTATCAGTGCTCCGCCCACTGTGATTCTCAGGCTTTCGAAATGCGTTATGTTTCGTTCCTGACTTACAGTTGCCAAATATGTTAGAGCTTCACCCTTCCGATCCTCAATCTAAGATGTATAACTTTGTGTATCTAATGAATATCATTGGTTGCTTCTAAAAAAAATAAGGATCACCATCCAAATTCCTATAAAGCTCCTTATCTTTTTAAAATGGCACATTAGCATATATTTTTGTAGTGATAACATATTTTGATGATATGCTATTTTATTTTATTTTTTATTTATTCTTAAATTTGTATGCTGCCCATCTCTCCCCAATGGGTAACTCTTGGCAGCATACAAATTTAAGAATAAATAAAAAATTAAAATTTTTCAATGTCAAACGCTGTAGGCCTTTTTATTTGTACACTCCGTACAAGTTGTTCATTTTGTTCAGAAAAAGATGAAAGTAGATTAGAATATACATATTCTATATATATTCTATTTGCGTTTTATTAAATGGTTACATTATGGTTTCAAGGATAGTAGTTTATGCTATAGGCTACAGCCAACGACAGATCTTGGGCCAGACAAGGCCCCTGAAACAACCTTTGAAAAAAGAGTATGGCTCATAATTTTGTTTCACTATAAATGACAGATCAATTACCCAATTTAAAGATTTGCATGGGACTCAGTTATGATGTAACACGCATACAATTTATAATTAAATATCTCAGTAGTTAGATGGTGCCAACATTATTACAGATCTGGTCAATTGCTGAGGGACATAGTTTGTTAAGATGGACTTCTGGCTCAATGACTTCCAGCCATTTCAACTGCTAAATCACTTGTAGAAGATGACTTTAACACCCACAATGTGTGGAAACAGTACTGGCTAGAAAATTGCCCCCCACAATGTCGAAGCTTGCTCTGCATCTCAGAGAAACCATCTGGATTTGACTAGCCCCATGCGATATGGACAACATTGAACAGAATTTGCACGGGCCATGGTAGATGTGCAGATGCCCTTTATGTGGGGCAAAATAAGATCACCGAATTGTGATTGTGGGACTGAAAAACAAACTATTCAACATATAGTGACAGGGTGCCAAAACAGAGCCTATAATGGAGATTTCGTTGATTTCCTGGCTGTGACAAATGAAGTAAAAGTTATATTTGTAATCTATACATATGCTTATATTTTTATATTTTATATTTCATATGTTGTATTTTATCTCTTGTGTTTTTATTCTACTGAATTGCGATGTGAACGTGCCATACGATAAATAATAATAATCTGGCTCAAATCCACTTCTGAAGTCTACAGGGATCCTAAGACTTCATAACTAGACATTTCTGATCTATAAAAAAATAAGCCATCTATTCTCTCCTACATGCATAACGTAGAATTGAATCCTTCTGTGCCTGAAAGGCTTGCTTTCATGCTGCCCTCCTGTAATCAGGTGACAGAGTTGCTATGGGAACAAAATGGAGGTATCCACTCCACTTTGCAAAGGAATATCTACCATGTGAATAGAGGTATTCCTTTTCAGGAAGAAAAACAGCTCTGCTGTATGGACCACCAAATATGAGTCTGAATTGCACCATATCACTTAGCAAGTACTATTCTTGCCCCCAGAACACATTTCATGACAAAACTCAAAGGAAAGAAGTAGTATTAGTAATATTTGGCACATATCAAACAAAACCTCCTCAGTGTTTTCAGGCAAAATACATTTCCAAGGCTCAGATAAAGATAGCTCTCTTAAGGTTTCCATCTTGTGCAGTGCTAACAATATGAAAGATGATTAGTAAAGAAACGCAGAATGCATAACCTCTGGTCACTTGCAGGCTCTGTGTTCATCTTGAGAGCCTTTCCAAAAGTTCTCAGTGAAGTGTATTTATTCATAAAGAGAAAATATTAGAGGAACCCTAATTTGAATTAAATTTAAAAATTAAAAATCAAGATTTGTCCTGGCCTCAGCAACATGCTGTTCAGAATACCATTCAAAGGCCAAGTGCTGTAACTGGACCCACTAAAGATGCATATCTCTAAAGCAGAAATAGATCCGCCCCTCCTGATGTCTTACCTCATAATATCCGTCAATAAAAACTGTTATCATTTGAGGATTGACCCCTTGTGCTGACAGCAGAGATCGTAGCATCCTAAAGAGAGAAGGGTTAACATATTTGCTGTGGTTCCCAGAAAGCTTATTAACTTATTAGTAGGATTTATATATCACCTTTCATACAGGAGCTCAAATCTAATCTAGTATTAATGATATAAACTTGATCAACATTTGTTTGCTTTAATCCCAAATTATATATTGTATACTGCTTAGAGTTGACTGATTAGAACATAAATTCTGTTTACAAAGAAACAAAAAAGGTGAAATTTACGAGATCTCAGTAGATTTACACCTTTGTTTTATATAATAGGTGAAATCTTGCAGTTGGCTGTGTGTGTGATGGCTATGTGCTCTCCTTCTTCCATCCTTGCTAGATGGAAGGCTTTCCTTTCTGTTTAGAGGAACATGGTCAAGAAAACTGACTACACCATTTGGGAATTGGAGATTATTTTCCAATAAGAACTATACAGGGGAGAAATATGAGTTCTCTGCTTGATGCTGCATAGCAATCACCCTGGCTCTCACCTGTACAGGTAGTTGGGTCTGTTCCCTGCGATGACAGCAACAGGCACATCAAAAACTTTGTTGTCTTTGAGCTAAAGAAAGGAACACCACAAACAGAAGTTTAAGAGAGAAAACCAACACCTCTTTCCCCCCAATTTCCCCTTCTTTTGCCATCTCTTACATTTGAACATTTAAGGGGAAGACTGGGAACAGCTATGTTCCATATAAGCAATGCTTCCTTGCATGCAGTCTCAGACTTAGATTATGAACTCAACCCAATACTCTCTGACCACTTCCAGAATTAGAATAGTATAAGTAGGTTTTAAAGGGCACTACTTATATATTGCAGAACTAAGAAGAGACTCCCAGTAGCTTTTATATTTGTCTCATGTATCTCAAGTTCAAAGAAGTAATCAGTGTGGCAAAGAAACAAGGAGACTGGAAATAAAGTAAAAGAGAAAGCAGGAAAAAAATTAGGCAAGGCATGATGGACAAATACAAAAAGCAGATGAACATAAAAGGTCCTTAAAAAAATCTGAGTCCCAACTACACAGCCTGGTAAACTTTATTGGCAGATTGGACATCCAGGCTGTATGTCATACTAATCATTGATGGCTCAGTTAAATCTGTGTAATTAGACAGAAATTCTGTTTCCAAAAATTGCTGGTGAAGAAGAAGGAGCATTAATTGCACCTACTGGATCAGGATTGAACTCTATAGGTGTAGGATCTTTACAGCTGCAGACACTGCCATAACCTTCAACTTTGCTGCAAAAATGCTTCCGCCGCCGATTCAACTCAGTATCTGGCCAGTGGCATTCCGCATCTGGGGAATACATCATATGTGTGCATATGATTAGCCTGATATATATGAAAGCTTTGAAACAGATAATCTCTTATCAGCTTAAGTTCTGCTACTGTCAGCTCAGAACATCCTTAGGATGTTTCAAACTATGACATCCATAAGCAACAGGCACCATCACCAATAATCAAAATTCTGAGAGGGAAAATTCAAAACATCTGTGTGGCAACCAGGTCACCTATGCCTGGCTGCCAAAGAGAATGATTCTTCTACAACCTCTCTTTTGAATATGGAATAATAAAAAAAAAAAAGTAAGAACTTGTCTTCAAGGAAGCTTTTTATTTCATTGGATTTGCCTCAGGAAAAACCAAAGAGAACAGCACTATAAGTCAGTGGAATAGCAGCTACCAATGTATAAAACCTATCCCTAATCCAGTCTAACCATTTTGGTTTTTGTAGAAAATCCAGATCAGAAAAGCTAAAACAACATATTGTACTGAGTAGGAAGTCAATCTATCCCTGGCTCTGAACTCCTGCTTGCGTCATACAAAGCACTTGAGAATTATCACACTTCAGCTGAAACTTTACTTTGGAGACCCCCTTATTTTACTCATCCTCTTCCCCTCAACCAGGTTCCTGATTTCCTAGCTTTGAACCTGTTCAAGATTTGTTGGATCATCCCAACCTTGTCTCAACTATTCCCTCCTGGGAAGACATATCATACCTTCCACAGAGGTTAATTGGACTTCAGTTTTCAGCAAAACTGGCTCTCCCCATGAGGAAAGCACTGGGGACTTGGCATGTTTCTCGCCATAGACTTCACCTGTAGGGAACACAACACATTATGGTCAGTAGGTCCAGTGGCTGATTATGGTCAGCCAATAATCATTCACCACTTGGGCTTGTCCACTGTTAGATCACTGATGTAGCAATCAACCAGTAATCTTACTTTTTCTCTAGACTCCTTTGGACACTTTTTTATGGTGCAAAAGAAAGATTAACACAATATCCCTCTATGGTAATCAGATGCCATGGAGCAGGAGGAGATAGAGACATTCTCAACTGTTGTAGAAGAGAGAAAACTGGTTTAGATATGAAAAACTGCAGCTGCCTATGCCCACTCCCCCACATTATTATTAACAGGAAAAGTCCTCAGCTTCTCATGCTCCACTTTAGTGTCTCTGAAAAGTTCAATTATCATTAAGATATGAAAATTAAGAATCTAGAGCAGAACCAAAGGTTTGCCTGTTCAATCTTATACTTCTCCTTTAAAAAGTTACAACCCACCAGGAGCCCTCTCCTGTGTCCCTTTCTCCCCTGGAGATTTGTGCCCATGCTCGATTCTGACCTCCTTTCTTCCCCACAAAGGTCCACATGTCCCTCCAGCTGAGGGAAGCTGCAATCTGGCTCCCTAAACTCTTCAGAAGACTCTTGGCTGTGTCTTTAAGGTGGAAGGAGCCCTCATCCTGAAAAGGAAGAAATACTACAATATTAATGTAGAATTGTTTGTGGCTTCTAGCTCAAACTTTAATTTTCAGGGGGAAAATAATAGGGACACAGCTTTCTTCATTTTAAGTGGCTCATAACATAACACCACAGCTTGCTTTACAGTAATTCCTAAAAGCCCATCCTTCCCCCAGCAATTTCTGGTTGGGCAGAGAGAGTGAGTAAAATGGCATACATGAGTGTGTGAAAACAGGGTGCCAGAGAAAGTACACAAAAGTGTATGTGAGGGTCCATCTGCTCAGGCTCCAGCCAAGTCCACAAACAACATGTCACCCAACAGTTTACTCCCACAGAATATGGCCTTTAACAAACCAAAGGGCTCCCTGTGTCTCTGCTAGATCATCAATAAAGAGGATTCAGCAGCTGGAATGATTTTAGCTAGAAGAGATATTAGTGGCTAGAATAAATCTTCAGTATCATTATCTTTTTCTTCTGTGGAGTTTAGAAAAAGCTAACCCAAACAGTCACTTGGTTCATTTGTTCTTTTGCCAGATCACAAGTTGACACATCTTACCCTACTGCCAAACAGACTGAGGTTAATGGAAGTCTAAATTAAAATCATAAAGATGGTATTGAATTAAAGGATACCTGATTTATATCCTTTAAGCTTAAAGACTCTTTGGATGCTGCTTCAGATTCTTTTAAACTAAAGTTTCATTTTTTAAAAAAAATTTCTAACAAGAAGTCAGTGCAAGGCTTGTTTTTTGCTTTCCTAGTGTATCTTACAATTTAAGATTAAATACATACAAAATTACAAGATTAAATTTTCAGACACCATCCATAAAATTAATATTTAGCAATAGTGTAATCAGCTTTTCTTCTCTATCAAAGTGTTTCTAGCTTCATTAGACTAATTTCTAGTTAAACTACACATTTAACTTCTTTCTCATTTTTATGAGGGAGGGAGGGAGGGAGGGAGATTTTACAACACCAAATTCAACTTACCTTAATTGTGAAGATAAGAATGCGACCCTTGGCCACCATGTTGAGGAAGAGGACCATGGCCTCATCCTCATGGGGGGAATAGGTGTCAAAAACCCGCTTTGCCATCACGTGGCCCTAGAAAACAATCCGAAATTCTGTTAGATCACTTCTTCTCAAATTGTGACCTTCCAAATATGTTGGGATCACAATTCTTTCTTGGAGCTGCAGTTGAGAACACTGATATACAGCAGGTTAGCTACTGGGAAGGATACATCCTAGTTTTTATTTAAATATAAGGACAAACTTCCTGATCTGTACAACAGTGTAACAGTCTACCTACAGAGGTTTCAGATTTTCTACTGTTTTCCTGCAAATTGCAAAGGTTTGGACTAGATTATCTTTATGGCATCTTCCAACGCTACAATTCTATGACCCACCGCAACAGAGGAAACATTTTAAAAACATCTGACAGCTTTCTTCAGATTAACCCAATGTAGGAGGTATCTCTGCCCTCTCCTTCCCATTACAGGATTGTATCCTAGCATGGTATCATCTCAGTTCATTTTCTTAATGAAAATAAAAGCGATAGGAACATCTGTCACATTCAGGCAGCTGTGAGAGCTCAATGCCAGGGAAGGTCCACTGGCTCTAGAAACAGGACTTCCCAGCCACCCATCTCACAGGCTTCTGGAGAAAGAGGAGAGGAAGTTGGCATTTAGAAATTCCTCCTCCAGTAAAGGAGCTTACTGGGAATACAGAATGGTAAGCACCTTTTTATTATTGCCAAATGGGGAGCACGGTCACCAATTGTAAGCCCACTGAATTGGGTGAAGTCTTGTGTAATTCAGGGAGGCTGACCAGATGGCATATTACCAAGAGTTCTTTTTACACTTAGAGCAGCTTTAGCTTTGAGTAACACAGGCCTGGCATAGTGCTAGAGGTCTAAAAACTTGCTGAGACCTTCAGTGGAGTTTAAAAGACTTCCCTACAACTGACGAAAAAAACAGAAGGATGACTCAAAATCTAACCCAAGATACAGTTCTTTTGGACTTCAGTGACAGCTGAAAAGTAGTTCTGTGGAAATGTAAGACACTCTGCACTGCCTTTGCCTTTTTATCGGAAAAAGGAGCATATTGACTTCTTTTAGAGCTTCAAGACAAGTTATGTTCTTCATCACTTACTGTAGCCTGATTTAACACAATGACATGGATGCCTCTGCCTTGTTCCCGTGCTTCATCTTCTAAAACCTGTGCAGTAACAAAAGTAATTGTTATCAGACTTTTCACACCTGCTACCCCTATCTGCCGTCCCCCGTTTCTTGTGTATAATTTTCTTCCAGGAAATTTCTTCAGTGATATTCTGTAACCCAGAGAATCCCACTGAACTAGCTTTTTTGACTGTGCTCCTTATTCAGAACATAATCCAGCATGTTGGAAAGAATTATAGTTAGCTTTTATACTAAGAACTTGGAAGCTGAGATATAAAAACATTATAAGATGAAAGTAGCTCATGAAACATTGTTTCATGAAAGATATATTTATCTGTGTGTATGCAGACACACAGAGAAAACACACTATCCTTCCCTGGATTCCTTGCAAAAAACACAACTCTTGTAAATTGCAATTAGAACAGAAAAATGTGCTGACTTTCTATTAATGCACAGATTGTGGGGTGGTGGTGGTGGGGTGGTAATAATTGTTTGTTTCCCCACCGTGAATGCATTCACTTAGAACTTTTATTAAAAATAAAAGGTCATCCAAAGACACAAGATGAATATCATATATTCATAATTTAAACTTACAGTTTTAAATACATTTGCCGGCCTAATTGGACATAGTGAAACTGAAGCCTAAATACACACACAAATAATGCAGGAAGACTCTCCATTTCAAAGAAGCACTGTGCTCTCCTTCAAAGTAAAATGTATGAGAATTTATTGTTGCCCTGATTCTTGCATCTTATAGCTGCAGTGCAGACTCTCTCACCGTGGTCCCATCAACTGCAACATAAACCTTGGAGCGACTGGAATACACCTCTATGTCCAGAACTTTTCTATTACTGACAGGCCGCCGAGGGATCTCTAGCTTCTGCAAACTTTCATCTAGGAAATGAGAGAGCACCATTTAACAGTCTTATCCTGTGGTAATTTCCCCATAAACTATGAACATTCTGAAAGGCCTCCTGTATACAGGTAATCCTCGTTTAGCAACTGCCTCATACATCGACCATTTGCAGTTACAACAGTGATGAAAAAATAACTTTGTGACCAATCCTCACATTTATGACCTTCTTAGGTCTGTAAAGCAAAGGAAAGCTGAAATAAGATTGTAAGCACAGTCGCAGTATCACTTAGTGACTGCTTTGCTTAATGATCGAGTTGCTGGTCCCAACTGTGGTCACTAAACAAGAACCACCTGTATACCAACAGGTATGGCAAGGCTCATTCAGTGAGAACACAGATAGAACATTTTCTATGGCAGCATCATATGGAATATCTCCCAAAGACATCAGGTTGCCTAAATAAAAAAACATTTTCATTCCACTTGGCTTTTAACAGCTGCAATGTAAGATTACAGACTTCAACTGAGTGTTACTTCATTTTATCATTCTAGTTGTAATGGTTTCCTGGTTAAACTGATTTGATAACTGAGTTTTCAACTGCAAATACAAGAAATCCAAGCTTTTGGGTTCTGCTTCCCTTTCACACTTATTTGTCAATTTCCCCCTGGTCTTATATTTTTTTTTAAAGTCAGAATATGAACCATGGTCTACTTGCTAAATTTTACCTGAAAATGTTTAAGGTCTGGAAGGTACTATCAGTCCATTGTTACATATATTTACTTAAGAAACTACTCTCTTCCTCTCTCTAAACCATCAAAAACTATTTTGCAAGCAAAACTATCAAACATTTAGACCATGTTCAGTGTTCCTATAACTAGGGGATCCATCAGTCAGGAGTTAAGTAATGTTGTGTGGAAAATTCTATGCTCCAATCGCAGAACAGTCTAGAGTCCATTTGTCCCAGAATCTGGCCACCAACTACCAGTACATTCTAACACCACCAACTAATCACATTTCCTGCTCACCATAATCCTGAGCTGATTCTTCTTCTTCACTGGCTGCTCTTCTAGTGTCCAAGATCAGCTTTATGTTCACAATAACAGTTACCAGCAAGAAAAGTACAGCTCCCATCTGTAAGGCAAAAGCCTCCATTATTAGATTAGAAAAAATAAAGATTTGGAAAACCTGATGCTTAAAATCCCTTTGTGTTGAAATCACAGATTCTTATGCCAGACTTAAAGGGAAGGAAAAGTGAGCGACAAGAGCTTTTGGACTTCTTTGTTGAACTTTCCTATTGTTCTTTAAGGATGAATTTTAGTTCCTGATTCCATTTACCCCTAAAGGGCTATTCTCTTCTACAAAATTTTGTCTCATTTTGTGTGTTGGTGGGCCCTTCTATCCTTGTGCATCATGTACTTTCTTTATCACGTATAAAGATGCAGTAGAGGAAAATATTGAGTCTCCTGCAGATATATCCAGGTTTCCATAGTAAGTAGCCAGCTGTTTATTCCTTAAATCTAAACTGCTGACATTTGGACATGGAAATCAGTTCTTGGGTTAAGTGTCATATGACACAAATATGGCACGTCTTACATCTGTTGTTAATGGGAATATTATTAAGTGGCATACAACTCTTTAACTGAACTGCATTCATGTACTTTAATAGTAGTGATCACAGCAGGTCCTGTCATATATTCATCTGTGTTTAGTATCAACCTTATAACATAACACTTATCTTATAATATAACACTGACCTCTCACCACTGTTTCTTTAGATGACCATGAGACCTTGGCATCTGAATGCTTAGACTACAACTCCCAGAATTCCCAACCCACATGGTCTTTGCTGTCTGGAGAACTCTGGAATTTGTACCACAACCAGTTCAAGAAGGCTGCTTTCACTTGAAAAACTATGAACAGATTTTAGGGCAGTGAAAGCCAGCTACTTGATAGGAAAGCCGAGTCACAGCATCTGTACAAACTGCAGCAAGATTTTCTCAGTGGAACAGGCACATTATCCATGAAACAAAAGGCTGTGTAATACGAAGGCACGGTCTGTGAGAAGAGAGCTGTCTGTACAAAATGAGCACTATTTATGCTACTTCCTATCTCAGAGAAAACCCCCAAATAAAGCTGAATTTTACCTATAAAATCAGAATGCCTCTTATTGTTCAGTCTACCTTCACATTTGCTCTCTTTCATGACAACAGCCCTAAAAGCAGAGCAACAGTCCCTAACTTTTGTGGACTGAGGACAGACTTGAAATCTTGAGAATGTAATGTGGCTGCCAGGATGACAAACTGATAAGTCTAGAAGAAAAGTACCTTGCTGAAGAGCATAAGCACAATTAAAGGCAGAGCCTGAGCTCCAAACATAAAAGAATTCTTTGGGACATAATTTTATACTATAGCACTGATGGCTCTCAATTGTGCACTGCCTACCAAATGACCAGCATCAGGAAGTCTCTACAATCGTAGCCAAATTTTGTACCATCACTATGACAATTAGAAGGTTTAGGACCTGATTGTTTCCCCAGGTGTATCTAGTGCAGGTATGAATAGGCTTTTATTGGATGCTGTGGAATGTATTTTTTAACTTCTCTGGGTTTCTGTATTTATCTGTGGATCAGGATTCACATCACATTTAGAATACATTCTAGCTGGAAATCAGGGAGATTTAGATACATTCAGTATACCTCAAATAGTGAATATTATTCTATTTAGGAATTATTGTTCCACTTATGCTTATTACTATAAAAATAGTTATGAAGTATTTTCATGTTCTAGTTTGCTCTATTACAATATTTTCAGTCCCCCCCCCCAGATATTCCAAAGTCACATAAGTACATGCCCCACAATTCAAATCCTCACATATGCTCAAATTTTCCTAATTTCCTACTAAACACAATACAAGACCCCCACAAAAAAAACACAACTTTTCCTGTACTTAATTTATCTCAGTAGAAAAAGAGTGTTACTGTTTCTTCCGTTATATGGTAATAAAGTACTATGTGCAGGAAATGTCACATTTCTACAACATATTTTATGGTGCTATAATGACTAAGTCTCTGGTGATGAAGACACAGAGAGCAATATAGGTTTCTATGGGAACCTGAACTTGAAGAGCCCTGTCTATATGTAGCTAAGGTGTCAGGATTTCCTACAACATTGACAGCTCTATATTAAATTTGCTATTTTAAGACATGGGGATCCAGACAAGACATTGAAATACATTTGTCATGCTTTCCTGACTGCTATACACTGTCAGTCTCTAGAAGGTAGCAAGATGAATTTATCCCCATTTTGTATGAAGATAAAATGTCTAAGAAATACATTATTAGTCACAGAAGTTATTAGACGTAGTAAATCCAAAACAGAACTGGGAACCTTGTGTTTCAGAAAGCCATTTTCCATCCCATGTTCTCTTACAAACTTTTAATGCCTTGGGCTTGGGAGGGACATGTCAGAGGATTCAATTTAAGAGGACAGTGATTTGGTTACAATATAGATAAGGGTGTGAGAGACACAGATTTCCCCAGTTCACTTCAGTTCATTTTTGGGGCCCTCAGGTGAGTCCATATTGTTTCATATGGAACAACTGGCAAGCCTGAAACCTACCTAGAATCATAGAAAAAATGGCTACTAGTCTGCTATGGCTTTGAATCATGGCAATCACAGCTACTACATGATTTCCTCCATGTGATCTTGAAGGAGCTGGAAGTTTGCCAAGTTCATGTGTGCATCTATCTCCAAATATCAATATATGGATCACTTACACACTAGAATGTATTTTTTTGGTCCCCAGAGATCATATGGCCAACATTAGTGATGGATGGATAGATGGATGGATAGATGGATGGATGGATGGATGGATGGATGGATGGATGGATGGATGGATGGATGGATGGATGGATGGATGGATGGATGGATGGATGGATGGATGGATGGATGGATGGATGGATGGATGGATGGATGGATGGATGGATGGATGGATGGATGGATGGATGGATGGATGGATGGATGGATGGATGGATGGATGGATGGATGGATGGATGGATGGATGGATGGATGGATGGATGGATGGATGGATGGATGGATGGGTGGGTGGATGGATGGATGGATGGATGGATGGAAGGAAGGAAATTTAATTAGTCTTTTTTTTTTACTTCATAAAACCTTATCCTTTCCTTGAAAAATCAAAGCCCCACCCCATAAACCTGAGTGGTTTATGCACATTCCTAAAAACAAAACCCCAAACCAGACAGTAGCCATAATAGGGTTTTGTATCAGAAATAGCTCCAATGATTTGTCTCAGTGCAGGCCTACCACCAGGATTTCAAGTGGATAACTCAATTAATGAAGACTTTAGTCATTCTTACTAGTTAAATAATGAACTGCTGCTCTTCCTTCAGCCAATACTGCAGCTTTGATGTATATGTATATTACCCTAACAAAAAGGAGATGATTAATCTGCTTAAGTGATTTAATTACTGTCCATAACCAATCAACTCCCACCAACAGATTTGCAGTCATGGAACACTTTAATAGGGTCCTCAGCAGGAGCTTTTGCCCCATCCTATTCCCTGCCAGTCAATGTACCTGGGCACCAAGTTGCTTTGTCAAAACAAACAAACAAACTAGGTTATGCATCTCCTTTCATATGCAGCACAAACTCCTTACTTAAGCCACCGTAACATGTGTCTAGAAATTACCTGCTCCTTCCTTTCACCTGACTACTTTATTACTCTTACTGTTTATACCACCTTCAGCTTTGGCATTTATCTCCCCACATGCAGAATATGAAATACGAATTAACAATCTTTTCCTTTATGAAAATATCCACAGCTCAGTAGTATTCTTCCATTACATAAATCACTAACCAAGTTACAGGGAACAGAGAGCTAATTAGTACATCTAAAAATGTATGCCCAGTAATGCATAATGCTACAAATCAGTGGGATTTTTTTCATAACTAATGCCTATATGGTGACGGTTTTGTTAAAGTTTAAAGGAATCACTTTCACTTGTTTCATGAGCAATACCTGCACCTGTGCCATATCTGTACAAAAAACAGGGTTCACTACGGGGCATGGTAACCCAGTAGCAGCATTTGTTTGTATGGTGGCTCTGCTCCAGCTTGGATTTGCTATCCAAAGGAACCCATTTTAATGATATCACAACACCAGAAAGATAAAGAAAACTTCTTTTAAAATATTTTAAACTTGTTCTCCATATGCCTTATTGACTAGGCACACAGTGTACTAAACCATAGTTTCCTTAACCATCACTTGTGAATAAGACATAATTGGCTGGGTTACACATACTACAGTACATCCCAACATGCACTTTATAATCTGTAACAGACCAACTCACAAACTATGTTAAAACCAAACAACACTCATTTTATTCCTACATTTTATTTGTAAGTGGCCTAGAAATCCTTTGGATAAAAGCAATGCACATAGGTTTTAAATAAATGTATCAATATACACAATAAGATAAATCACATGTGAAGGTGAAGGCAAAGAAAACACTTTGTTCAAGCAGACAGTTAGGAACTGGACACATTGTAGTAACAGGAGGTTTCAATGAATCTACAAGAAGCTCAGCTTCGATGCTGCTAGAAAGCTTATGTGAAGCGTAGATGTCCTCTGAGTGAACCTCAATTGTTCTGGATTTAAAATACTAGCACATCTTCTCCAACGTAGGACTTTTCACTTGCTTTGGATTACTATTCCTATTACTACCAGTCAATACTGAACATGCTGGTGGAGAATTTACAGTCCAAGGCATTTAGAGATCATCATGCCAAAGTAGGATTTGTATCAGGCTAGACACAAATTACTATTTCACAAAAGACAAGAGCAATAAAGATAAGGAATCCTTTAGTCAATTAAGCCTTTTCTGCCATAAATTAACTTAAAAGTGACAGTTAGTAGAACTGAAATGCACAGGGAGTCAGCTGAGAAGTGTTTGGCAAACCTAGGTAGGATAAATGCTTCTTCCTTTGTACTCATTTTACAAAATGTAGTCTTTCTTCTGCAAAGATACTACAGCTCCTGAAACTGGGATTCTTGCCCAATTCTGTGGCACTCTGCCAGCCTCCAATCACTCACTGCCCAACTTCTCCCTTCAGGACAGATGGCCTGCAGCTTGGTCTAGGATCCTTATGTGCATGGAGGAGTAAACCAACTTCTAGTTCTATAGGCACTGGCCTAGTTCACATGTAATTCTAATTCACAATGCTTTTTCTTTGTTTTTGGATTAGCATGATGCGTGAATCTATCCCTTCTGGTTTAGGATTATTTTATTTATTTATATTTATTTATATTTCAAATTTGTCACTGCCCATCTCACTGCAGAGCAACTCTGGGCAGTTTAGAGGAAAAAGAATAAATATTAATTAAAATATAATAAATATGAATTAAAATATATTACAAGAAGAAAAAGGCATATATTATGTGCAAGCACGCCCATTGTGGCTTAGCATCATGCACCAACAAGATCATGATTTACTAAACCAAGTATAGAGAAAAATATGCTGGCTAAGTGTTTTGTGAGAATCATGCCATGCTGTAGCCTGCATTGGATGAGACCAAACATTTCAGTCCTTTTTGCATGTTCTTCTGAATGTTTGAAGGGGTTTAAAGAACAAAATGGGGGCCTCAAGGCATGTAGATTCTAAAAGCACCCACTTCAACACTTCAAATTTCTGGACAGCCCTCTTTAAAACAGATAGCAGCCCTGCTCTTTTTTTGCCATGCTATACAAAGCCTAGAGTAGTCCTTCAACCAATGGACTGTACATTTGGCTTTAGAGAATGGGCCATATTAAGGAGCAATTTGCAGAACACCCAAGTTCAATCTCAGACATCTTATACTGAAGGAACCAGGAAGTAGGTGATAGGAAAGATGTCTAAGAGCATGGAAAACCTCCATCAACTAAAATAGACATTATGCAAGACAGATAGATGATCTTGTCTGTCACATGCAACTTCTTATGTATCCAATGAACACACGTGATCAAATAGAAGATTGTGTTGTTTCTACATTGAGAACTGTGCTGTTAGATACTTTGCAGAGATCTGGAAAATGTAGGGGCAAATTTCACATTTACTCATTACAGACAACCTCTTTTTAGGTTTCTGAGGTTGAAATCTATATCCAACTGCTGAGGAGTAAGTCCCTTTGAATTCCGTTTAACAAGACATGACAGCTATCAGGGCTGTGCACATATTAACAATTATTGGAAACCTGCTTTAGACTTTAGGCACACAAAGCACCTTTCTCTTATTCATTAAAGCAGCCCTTCATTTTTAGGCTTCTGAAGGAACCTGAAAAAAAGATACCACTAGTTTAAGAGCTGCATTGATCTGAATGGATACATTCCTTAATGCACCCACACTTTTTTTTCCCAGGCTTTCATGGAAACCTGAAAAAAGCTGGGTAGTTTAATTCATAGTACGGATTTCTGTTCTTGTGTACAGTCTGAAGTACTTCTTCAAAAACTTTTTCAAAGCATGCACAGCCATGCTATCCAAAATGAGTACAGCTTATATATACTGTAGTTACCAGAGGTATCAGTTTGGAAATCATAAAATATCCTTTGTTAGAGCCTTTTAAATATTTATTTCAAAGTGCATGCAATTGGCCTTTAGACAGAAAGATAAATTAAATAGAAAAAAAAATACTAGGTAAGTGTCCAAGAGAAACAAGTTCAGATTATATTATTATAATCTGATTATATTATATTATTATATTCAGATTATATTTAGTTCTGATAACTAAAAAAGATACAAGTGCCTTAATGTACCATGCTGAGCAATTCTTATTGTAATATGAGCTTTCATGGCCCTGCACTCTTGCCTGAAGAAGAGTGTGCATTATAATAGATCTGCTAGCTTGCAAAAAACTACACCACTCTGTCTTTCCAAAGTAATGCATCCATTTGTATAAATATGTTCTTTAGGCTATATAAAGAATATCACCTCCATGTGATTCCATTTCAAGGATTACAGTTCCTTGAACACTATAATCCAGGTGTATTTAAAGCCAGTGATTTTTGCTAATCTTCTTACCAGATATAATGCATACTACTACCCAAGTAACCTGGACAGAAGGAAGGATGAGCAGGGCCTCTTCTCACCTGACACAGTCTCCTGAGTGCCCTCTGATTTGTCAGCTTGTACTTCCAGGCCAAATACCAGCTGCGTTTCTTCCACGGCTTGGGTTGCAGGTTAGGCTTCCACTCATCCATCATAGCAGGGCAAAATGGACAGAAATAGATAACATGAGCTAACTCTCACCATCGGCCCTTCTCTAGTTGAATTCTTCAAGTTAAACCTGGCAGGTCAGAGAAAATGAATAAAATGGAAGGAAGAGCTGGTCATATTTAGGTTCAAATGTCTGAGAATATCAACATTTCTACACATTGCTCTTTTTTAAATCCCAAATTTGCACAAATATTTAATTAACATAATTTATTCTGGGCAGCACACTTGGAAGTTTGCAGAATGTAATGGTTTGACAAGGACGGACTGGAAGGAAAACAACGAATTCTTTGTCAGGGAGAACTGAAAGAGGAAAGAATGTTGAACAAGAAGGAGCCAAGCAAAGGATCATGGGTTTTATTCCACATCTCAATAGAATCATAGTTAGTATACCCATATTGTGTACATATATGTGCAACGCCCCCACCAGAAAACAGTATATTTTCAGATTGATAGGAACCTTCTATAGAAGTTAGAGACAACAGAAAATCGGGGGACAAGATCTTAGAGGCATTTAGAAAAGTTTGTCCCATTTCCATTCTCAGAAAGATATACATTAAAAGAAGAATCTTAACATGCTAGAAATTGCATGGAGGCTGTTTTAAGTTTGCAATGCTTGTTAAACAGGCCAGATTAGCCTGTTCTGATTACAGAACTATCCTTTCAACACTGTTGTTAAAAAAAAAAAGAGTTCTTCTATGAATTGCCTTCTGATCCAGATCTCTACAGACAGAACTGGATCACGCATCAAAGTGATTGGATTATAGATTTTTCATCATTTTGAATCAGCACCTGTGCCAAGGTTCATTGCCCCCAAGGATAATTTCTACAGGACCTTTTTACTTAGCTTCCTCAATCTGCTACCCTCTACCATATATTGGACTTCAAATCCCATGAAGCTCTTAGTCACTCAAATGTCCCATCCACGGACATGCTAGCCAGGCATTATTAAGAATAACAGGGGCAACACCTGCAGAGTCTGACTTACACCACCCATAATTTTAACCCCTTTCACAAACTGCCCAACCCAAAGCAAGCTTAAATCAGAGTTACATTCATCAAAGAAAAGGGAGTACCCGTCTTGAGCTCTCGAATAAAAGGCGGGATAAAAATCCAGCAAATAAACAGAATTCACAGTGCAGAGGATGAGAAGAAGAAAGAGAGCACTGGCTACCAAACAAAGGAGCTGGTTACCATACAGTTTGCCTCAAAACAAACCCCACGCGCAGCTGGACGACCGCTCTTCTCCCCTACCATCCACCCGTTAATAAGCACTGAGAGCAAATAAGGTTGATTTGGAAGCGCGTAAAATGAACCGAATTAGGACGGGCGAAGCGGTTGCCCCACAAAACAAACGGAAGGGGGTGGATGGTGATGATGCAAAACGAATCATAGAGTACTGGAAGGGGGGAAGGACCCCCGCTTCCCAAGTGAATCCCTCTCATTTTCGCACCACCCGCCGCTCTAACGAGACACCGATCCACTTACTGGGGCTGAGGACCGCGAGGCCAGCAGCGGAGCTTTCTCCATAGCCAGGCGCCGCGCGCAGAACTCCAGCCGCCCCTGCCCGAGCGGGGGTGGAAGCAGCTGCCGATGCCCCGCTCCGAGAAGCTGGAATTGACGCGCCGCTCTGCTTCCGGCGCGGGATATAAGGTTAGAGCCTGGTCTTAAAGGAGACGGCTCAAGCAAGGCAACTAGCCAGGTCGGGGGAGATGGGGCGGAAGGCGGAGCGCCTGGAGAGGAGGCGGGGCCTCTGCTTGGCAATTCAGGGGGGCGGCGGCGGCGGCGAGAAAAGAGCCGGCATGTCGCAAAATATGATTGGTTGTCTCGGCTGTCTATTGGAGTTGGGGCACCTCCTTTGAAAGGGGAGGCGGGAGGGGAGGAGGCTACGGAGGTGAGTCCTCCTTCCAGCTGCCTGTGCCTAGAGCGCGAGATGGGAGCTCGTGCCTGGCTGCTTTGCCTCCCGCGGCGGCGCGGAGGGCGGGCGCGCCATGGGCGACCGGCCGAAGGTGGGCTGAAGGAGAGGAAGGGGTGAGAACAGCCTTGCGTGGATTAGGCCTGCGCCATAGTCGAGGTTTTCCCAATGTAGATATCCCTTGGGATAAATGTTGGCACGGTACAGTCGCGAGCTTCCTCCCCGAGATAGCCGTCTAGAGTCCCCTGGGTTTGAAGCCCACAGCAGGCAGGTTTCGGGGACCTCTTTCCGGGAGGCTCATGCCTCGTGTGAAGCCTGGCATGGGTTTTGGGACCGAATGCCACGTGTGAGGTTTATAGATCATGTTTTACGCCTGAGTGTTATAAATGTACCAAGCCCCTGTTGCTTGTTCAACACACAGGATTCTACCAAGCCACTTAATACAGTAGATGAAGCCATGCGTCACTTCCTGGATTTTAAAGTATTAAACTGTCTACAAAAGGGTGGCCTTCTTTGTTCTCCATATCTCAGATTAATCTGACCTGACCCAAATCCTCCTTTGGATGGTGTCCTGAGACTTTGAAGAGATGTGGATAGCAAGCAGTCACACAAAAGAGGATGCCTTATATTAGGTCATCACTAGTTCTGGGCCAGTATTGCCTGCTATCACTGACAGCAGATTTCAGCACCAGTTTCTTGCTTATTAATTCTTTTATGCCAGGACCCCAAATCCTCAACCAGCTTAACCAATAGCTCCAGGTTGGGCAAGGATTCGATAAATAAATACTGGCTGCCACATGTCACATAATGTTAAATAATTGACTGCTGGTGTATGTTAGCAATCAGATGGTGTCAAATTCTGACAGCTATGTGTCAAATAGGATCACGGTGCTACAGCCTCACAGTTGTCAGGGACTGCCAAAAGTTGACTGCTAGTGGTAAATCTTCACAAGCCTGTGCTAGGGCTGAATACAAAATGTTAGCTTGAGTGCTCATAAATATTGTTGCATTCGGCAATTATTTGGACAATATTTATGATTATTGATGTTGATATAGTTTGCTATTTAATTCTGTGTAATAAAAGAGATAGAGAAGTTCTGAATAGTTAATATGAACCCTGCATCCATATCGTTTCGTTACGAAAGCATACAAAGGAGTGTTAACTGGGCCTTTAGTATAAACTCTTAAACACAGTACAAACACAGAAGACAATTCAAACATCAAGCTGAGCCAAAACCAAACAATCACATTAAGGTTTAGCTGACTGTTGAATTTATAAAGTCTTGACATTCTTCATTTTACTTATGCATATATTACATCTTTCAGACTGAATGCAGGAATATTTATCTTTTGAGTCTTGATTTAGTTATTTGTTCAATCTGCAATTTGTAATTATCAGCCACAGGTATTTTCTCATTATCAACCAAGATAATTATGGTTCTTAAAACTAAAGTCTTATTTAAAATTAAAATCAAAAATTAAAATCTTAAATAAGTCTCTGCTAGTATGGCCTGGTTGTCTTGCATGGATGTTTTCAGTAGGGATTGCAGTTCCCTCAGACTGGTAGTTGTGATTTTTAAAACTATCGTGGGTGCCTGCAGACAATCATTTAGCAATGGCAGTGGTCTCTTTTGGGGATCCTGATGTCGAAAAATACTGCTTGGAACCATTCTCAGCTTACAGTCCTTACATCCACATGAGACTCTTAAGAAAGAATGGCTTTCTCTAACTGATGGCTTATAGCCCTGGCCTAGCTTTTCCCCCCCTAAAAACAGTCAAATGCCTAAAGTGGAGGCGGAGGGGAAGGCTTACAAGATCCATAAGAGCAGACTTGATTAGGCCAGCTGACCAAAATCACTGCAAGTTCATCAGCAAAGTCAGGGGGAACAAAGGACTGATCTTAGAGTGGAGGTATGATGGGGATCATCTTCTGGCAATTTCTTGTTGTTTGTTAATAGATCATTGAGGTTTCACAGATATATTGCACAGGCATATGGAATTCACCTTTAGCTAGCTGATAACTACCGGTAGATTTGCCTTTAATGAATCCGCCTAATTCTTTAAACAAATGCTTTTCCCCAGAACTTGGGCTACTGTACTAGACCTAGGCTGAAGGTGTTCGATACAGCTAACCAAGGCTGCAAACATCAGAATGACCAGGAGATGGCAGCAAAGACACACACAAACTCTGTTTCCTGCCATTAAGTGGCCATCCAGATGCTTGCAATACATTTCTGATAGCCCTCCCTGAACTCAGGACATGTTTAACTGGGTAAACAATTGCAGTTGCCTATTTTAATATTATAAGAAATGGGGAAAATATATCTTTATATTATAAATTTTACAGGGTCTCTCTGGTGCTGCAGGCAAGTAAACCAAAGATGTATTTAAGCTTTGATATCCTTAGGAGACAAGGAATTGCATGCAGGAGAGTGAGCAGGCTGCTGGAAGAGAGATAAGTCACTCCATTTGTCCTCTCTGCCTGGTTCAAACCAAGAAAACTGCTAGAGGAAATCCCCTTCCTTTGTTTTCAGCTTAGAAATGTACCCCAAATGCTGCTGGAACAGCTCACTCATTCTCTTTCACTCTGGCAACTAGTTAGCACTTTTGAAGGCTAGTAATGCACATGTAGTTTCATTTACAAGACTGTAACACATGCATAGGATCTGTGCACCTAAAAGCACAGGTAGGCAAAGGTGGTGACTAGGGGCAGCAGCCACAACCCTGCTCCTACTTCCATGGGTTGAATCATTTAGTAATTGGCTTCTCCCTTTGAAAAAGTTATTTTACTGTGTAGTGTTATTGTTACTGTTTATTATTTTTCTGTTGCTATCCAAAC